CAGAACCGGCCACGACCGTGGCGCAAATCGTACGAGAGAGGGGCCGGGCAGGCCGCGCCAGCCACCGTGGAGTTGTGGAGCTCGCGAGAGGGTGCCTTCTCAAAGGCAAGGAAGAGGCTGGAACGAGAGCCTCTGTCCATCGAGAGGACTAAAGGCTCAGAGATCTTATTTGGGATCGCGCCGTGTTCCCTGGCCCTCTCTCAGGCGAGGAGGGGCCTGTTCAGGTTGTTCCTCAAGCAGAGCAGCGGCCCTCGGAGGCTTGTCATGAGTGAGTTTATACTTCAGGCCATGGCCCGGGGCGTCCCTGTGCACCACGTCAAAAGGAGAGAGCTGGATGCTCTTTGCAGAGGCCAGGTTCACCAGGGAGTTTGTTTGGAGGCCACCCCTCTCCGTTTCAAGAGTTTGGAGGAAGCTGAAGAGCCTGATTTGGGGGATGAAGGGACTCCGAACCGACAGCTGATTTGGCTGGTGTTGGAGCAGATCCAGGATCCCATGAACCTGGGGGCACTGCTGCGCTCTGCGTACTTCTTGGGGGTGGACAGAGTGGTGACAAGCCATAGGAACAGGTAAGGGGTTGGTTATCGGCTCCTTCAGCTTTTCTCTTTCTTTTCCTCCTGGCTCCCAAAGAGTTTTCTAGCCTGCATTGCTCAACAGCTTCTTTAGAGGGCTTTCTAGGACTGAGCTCGAGAGCTGAATTCGGCTTGCTGCCGCTTTGCGTTGCGCTCTGCAGGGAGGCTGCGGGACGTGGCATTTCAGGCTGGTAAGGAACCTCCCTGGGTACTTCTTGTTTTAACCTGTTTTGTTGTCCTTCTGTGCACAAAACTGCTGTAACCTATTTCCTGGGTTAATTTCTGAGCCCTCCTATTCTCCATAGGAAAACATATCTGTAGAGTGAGCGAGATCTTCAGTGGACTAGTTGGAATTGGGTTGCGGAGGCAGGAGAAGGAAATACAGAAACAAAAATTCTCCTTTTTTGCTCTCATGCAACACTTGCCCTTTCTTTTTTCCTTGCAGCTGCCCCTTGACTCCGACAGTGAGCAAAGCTAGCTCTGGAGCTATGGAAGTCTTCGATGTCTACAGCACAGATGATCTCCGGAGCTTTTTGAAGGTAGAATGATCGATCCATGGGTTTATTTTCCCTTTCCTTTCAAGAAACCTCAAACACTGCATGTGTTGAACAGAGAGGAGGTACAGGAAAAGCACTCAGTTATTTGCAGCGCCCCGTGCTCCTGCTCTGCATTCCTGTGTGCTGCCGGTGGTCTGTGCTGTCGGACCACCTCTGACGGGCATGCACCCCCAGTCCCGTTCCATCAGGTGGGGTAACAGGTCTGAGTTGTGGGTCGTCTTCTGGAAGATGGCAATAGGCACAGCGTTATCGTGCTACCTCCCGTACTCAGGCTGCGAGCTTGGTAAGACAGGGTCTGTCTCCCTTCCTCTCCGCGGGGAGCGGAGCTAGCACTGCTGCCCGCAGCGGGTCTTGCCTGGCGTGTGGCAGAGGCAGCATCCCGGGGCCCAAGCACACGATGGCGGCATTGGGCAACCTTTGGAGCAGGGGAGAGAGGAGAAACCAGGGCTGGTGCGAGCTGCTGGGAATCTCTTTACGCTGTACCTATGCCGTGAGGTGAGATAGGGCCCTTTGCAGAATGGTGTTGCAAACGGAGGGGGAATGCACATGGGGAAAAAAACGATTTAAGCTGAAACAAACCCAGGGAAGTTGCTTTGAATTGGCAGAGCGCGTCCATCCCCTGGGATAGCACCGTGTGACTGCCCCGACTCCTCGCGGAGGAGGTCCCCTGTGCCCTGGCAGGGCTGGGGACCGGCTGAATGCTGTGCGCGCGTGGAGCAGGGAGCTGCAGGCTCTCCTCTGCCCTCCTCTTCCTTTGGGATCCCCCAGACCTGGGGGAGCGGTGGGGCTGGAAGGTTCAGCACGGGGTGGGAGGGCAGAGGCTGCGGACCCTCGGGGGAACAGAGGCACCCCGTCTGTGCTGCCAGGGTCGCTGCGTGCCCGTGTCCCTTTGAGGAAGAGCTCGTTGTAGTCTGGTGTGACTGCGAGGAGGCCGAGCAGAGGTAAGCCTGGACTCTTCCCGCTCGGTGCTAGAAAACCCTTGTCCAGCTGTACGATAGGTCTGTGGCAGCTGGAGCTCTGGATGATGGTGAAACGAAAGATACATAAAATACATTGATATTTAATTGAAACAGCTGAAAGAATCACTTTGTTGCTGTAAAGCTTGAATTGTTAACATTTTGAGCCATTACAGCGGTTCGTTTAATTGAACCCAGATTCACTGGCCTAACCCTTGGCATTGCCTGGCTGGTGTAAATTTGATATAACATAATGTAAAAAGTGCCAATTTCACAGGAAATGAAGCTGGCAAGAAGCAGCAGCTCTTTTATTGTTAAAATGGATTTCCAAGACAAATAATTAAGGCTCTTTTTACGAGGGTGCGGGAGGGAAGGCTGGTTTGCTGGTTGTGTGAGGCACTGAGTGTTGAGTGCCCTGCCTTTTGTAGGAGCTGATTTTTGGCATCTGAATTTGAAAATGTGCACTTGTGTTTGAAAATGTTACTGTGGGCTTCTGGTGGCTGAGCCTGCGCTTGAGAACTTCCACTGCATTGCTCTGTGGATTAGCCTTATGCTAATTTGTTTAACACTACTCTTTTTGTATGCTTTCCTGGCAAAAACCTTCCTAGAACTGTTGTACGGGCAAAAAAAAGCTTTTCAGTTGCTGTTTGTTTGCTTGCTGAACTGGAATAAACACCAGAAGGAAAATTACTTTTTTTTTTCCTTCTTTTTTTTTTTTTTCTTCTTTCCCTTAAATCAAGGTTTGTGTGCTGGTACTGGGAGGACTTTGGTGGTAAAAATTCAAGGGATGTCAAAAAACCTAGAAAAGCCAGTCAGCTTAACTGAAAGCATTAAAAAAAAAAAAAAAAAAAAAAGTGTGTTTGCATGCATGACTTTCTTTTTAAGCTTGAAAAGGAGGCATTTTTTAAACATTTGTTTCCTTTCCCTTTCTAGGCTAAAACTGCAGAAGGCTGGGAAGTCGTGGGAACGGCCAGCAAGCCTGAGGATGTGGAAAATGTTCCTGTCATCAGTTGCTTGGAATTTCGGTGGAATAAACCCGTTATTATAGTAATAGGTATTTCAATTTACAGAGCTTTGGGCTTGGTGGAAGTGCATGTGTGAGGGACCGATTAGGGTGATGTTTCACTCCGAAGCTAGTTGCAGGTCTGGTACGTTACATCACACTTTGGTCTGGAAAAAAAAAGCTGAGCAAGAATTACCAGAATGATCTGACTGCAAATGGAATAGGGACCCAGAAGAAGAGGAGGGAGCCGAGAAGCCTCCCAGTAGGAACTGCAAGAACAAACCAGTTTGTGTAGATGAACAGGGAGTTTAGCAGAGGGTCTAGATGGCGGTTTTCAGTGGCAGGACAGGTCTGGGTCAGTGCAGCCACAGCGCGTTGTTTTGCGTTGTGTTCTGCGACGCTTTTGGTCCTGTCCTAGAGCCCTGAACCTGGATTTTTTTGTGTGGCAAACCACAAACCTGAGTGAGAGTCCCCGGAGGTATGTGTTTGCTCTCGCTGCGCTGCGGCTGTAATGGTGAGCTGTGCCATGTCTTTGCTCTGTCATGTTTCCTCTTTAAAAAAAAAAAACAAAAACAAAAACCAGGGATATATCTCTGTGCCCCGGTCTGGAAAGAAGCATGAGGAGCTGTTGCTGGGGACGGTCTGAATGCAAAGTTGGGCTTTGTGGCATGGAGACCACCACGGAGGGCGGTCGGTGGTCGCTTTTGTATGCCTAGGAGAAGGCAGGAGCTGTCGGCTGCTGCGGTGCCGGCAGGAGGGGTGGGTATAACCTCCTCCCTGCCAGGCCTGTGCGCTGTGTGAGCCATGGGTGCCGCTTTCCGGAGCACCTAAACTGGGCCATTCCTACAGAGCCCTCCACTTCTGCCCCCTCTGTGTGTAGTGGATACTTGCAAAGCGTGCTGTCTTTTGGAGGCAGAGTTTGGGGTTGTGCAGCCTCCCAGGAGGTGAAGAGAAGGGGACTAACGGCCTCGTGGCAGCTAGAGGAAGAAATACCCCTGGGAGTGCTGCTCTAGGCACCCTTGTGTGGCCATGCTCGAGCCCCCCACTTTGTGTCACCTGGCACAGGAGCTGGTTTGAGCTTTTACACTTGGAAGTAGTGTCGTGCTGGCGACGGGCCATCAAGGGGCTGTAATCCTGCCCCACGCTGCGGTTTCCTTGGCTCGGAAGACGTTTCTTTAATTAAAATGTTTATTGAACTCCTAGAAATACTGACAAGACAACGCCGCAAATCTGGCATCTCTACAAGATGTGTGGAGTCATATTATAAAGGGAGTAGGGAGGCTGGCAGCGCTGCTGATGGACCACAAAGAAATGCATCCCAGAAACGACGACAACACCAGGAGAAAGGAAGGGGGTGAAAGTGGCAGTGGTGTCGTTACCTTGAATTATGAGAGATTTCACCAGGAAAAAGTCCAAATATCCTTTTGTCAAGGGAGATTGGAGGCTGATTGGTAGATGCATGAGGAGAGCTCCCGGACCTTGCAGCAGTAATGATTTCAACTCTCTGCTGAGCACTAACTCTTCGCTGAAAAGAAAATTGAACATAACAGTCGTCTGACGCTGAGGTTGTTTGAAGAAACATCCTACATCTGAATATGTAGCGTACCTGCAGCTGCAGAGAGCAGGAGAGATAATTTAGCATGGTAGTGAGCTTCCTAGCATTGCACAGATTGTCTCGTAAGTTAAGCATTTGCAGACTTGAATTCACCCTCCTGGCATCCTCGCTGGCTTGGCAGAGAGTGATTTGGACAGTCCAGCTTAATGTTGTCTGCGCTGGAGTCGTTGCCGAAGGTGACAGGCAGGCTGGCTGCCCTAAAGACTGGGAGCCTTGTGCGAACAGCAACAGATTGGGAGCGCTTGGATGCCTGAGCAAGAAGAGTTTCTGGGTAATTTGTTCTTCTTACACCTTCAGTCTTTAGCTTGGGGTTTAAGACTGTTCACGGAATCGGTTTTATCGAGATGCTCGTTTTGCATATTTCTCTGAACTGCCAGCATGGCTGCTTCTGCCTGGATTGGAACTTCCTGCACTGGAAACTGCAGTTGTTACAGTGGTGTTAACTGTAAATGGGGCAGGAAACCTGTTTTATCTTTCCAGCCAAGCTCTAACTCTGGTCTTTGAGGCCTGTCAGTGAGGGACAAAGCTAAGATCTCTCTCAGTCAAAGATCTGAAGCGGGAAGTGTTTTGTTCACCAGTATAAACTAGGATTTAATCTGATTCAGTCAATACTCCCTCCCTCGTGTCACACCGTGCAAGTCTTTTTGCCCTGAATTTATGGTTCCTAATTATTTTAAGCAGCCAGAGCCATAAAAAGCTTTGTAAAAGCCAGAAGCAAAATTGCTGCCTTTATTAGGAATCGTAAGGCCCATATCAGGGAGAGGAGAAGATTGCTCCAGGAGCCATTGTACCTCTGGCAATAGCTGCTGTCCCAGTTGGAGAGTCCCACGAGAGTGTGGTTTGAGAGGTTCAGGAGACAAGTATGGCTGTAAGTTGTAAAACTTTTCTGTGTTCAGTCAGGAAAAAGTAGGATAATTCTTTTTTTTTTTTTTTTTTTTCCTTTAGCTTGAAGCATCCCTAGAAAGCCACAGTGCAGTGACAAAGAGGCAGGCTGGGCCATGGAAGGGCTGGCTCTGATTCCTTGTGTCGCTCAGGCTTCCCGTGTGACCTTGGATAACTCACCCAGGTCTTGTCTTCACTTCTGGCTTAAAGAAAGAAGGAAGAAAATAATGGTTAGGATGGGATTTTGGTTTTCTGAACATTCACTTACCTCAGCCAAAGGATGCTTTTGCTAGTGTGGCTTTTTCATGTGGGAAGGTCATGCAAGATGCATTACCCAAAGCATTCTTTTGCTTGCACAAAAATGCATCTTGGCAGTTAGATCAGGCCAGCAAAACAGGAGACTGGGCCTCAGCTTCCAGTCTATGAAATGCCTATGAAGCGGGAATAACGGTGCTCTCCTATGCTGTGCGGTCGGAGGGGTGTCACACAGATCGATGCGGAGGGACGGGGCTCAGGACCTGCTGGGGACGTGCTGTAAGTAGGCACCAGGGGAAGAATTTTTGTGGCAACTCAGTCCAGCAAAGAGTTCATTTACCTTGTGGAGGAGTCAGTCTCCAGTGGCATAGACAGTGCCTAAAGCATACGTGTGTGCTGTTAAAACTTCAGGTGAGTATCTAAATTCAGGTGAGCTTGAGCGAGTCCTTGGTGACGGCAGTGCCATCCCAGGATGAGTCTGGGGTGCAGCTGGGGTCGGGGTACGGCTGTTGAAGGGGAACGTTTGGCTTCCAGCATGCTAGGCCTGTTTTGTCAGAGGGTGAGCACGTCTTAGAAATGAGCTGGGTATTCTTGCAGCTGCGTAGCTGTCTGTGTAGCTCTAAATAATGAGTGTGGAAGAATTCTTTGGGGAGCCAGGCGGGCTGGGCGGTCTGTGGTCTTCTGCATTTTCACTTGTCTGTGTGCAGGATTGTTTAAAGCTCTCCCTTTCCATTTCCCTTTGTGACAGTGTGAGTCAAACAACTACTAATGACCTGGGATAGATTTCAACTCTGTTTCACCAGTGTATCAGCCCAAACATATCAGGGCTGTTGGATGGTTTAACAACTAATCAATTGAAGCCTCTGGTTAAACTGTCTGCATTCACAAGTTGCACCCAGCTGGTGGTACCGTGGGCTGCAAAGGCTGAACCCATCGCTATCGATAGGGATGTGGGATTTGCTGGACCAGAACAGGCCTGTGGCCTCTTGTCTGCCGTGTCCCTCCAGCAGCTGCCGGTGCACGTGGGCAGCTGTCCGCTGGCACGGTGGCTGCTTGCGCAGGGGATCTCTGCACTCAGGCTCCAAGGCTCCGTGCTTTATGCTGTGCGTGCGCAGGGATTCCTCAAAAACGCTTCAGATACTGGAGAGCAGATCCGGGAGGCTGGAGTGGGCCAGGAAGGGAGGGCAGGTAAGGTGCCTGTCTCGCCTCTGATAGTTCTTGGCTGTTGCTCCGTGGGAGCTGGTGAGGTTGCTGGGTTTAGTTGTGCCAGAGCATTAGCAAGAACTGTACTCGGGAGGGGGGAAAAGGGACGTGGCAGCCGCTGCGAGCCCACCTGAGCAGTGTCCTTGTTCTGCAGGTAGTGAAGGTGACGGACTTTCCCTAGAGACGCAGCTCTTGTGCCATCGGATGCTGGCCATACCCCCTGGCAGAGCACTTCACCCCGGGATCGAGTCGCTGAACGTCTCTGTTGCTACCGGTAAAAACAGTTCTGATGCGCAAAGGCGTCATAGTCCAAATTTCTGTATTTAAAAATCAAACATCCAGGCCAACAGAACGATTTTCTTGTGGTTTAAAAAAAGATCTTTTTTTTTTAATTTCTTTTTTACTTTCCTACAGGTATTCTCCTACACTCCATCTGCAGCCAAAAGCGGAGGCACAGTGATTGATTTTTTTTTTTTGATGGGGGAAGCTGCTCAGCACTGCAGGGCTGTGCTCTGTTGGTGTGGATATGGAAGCGCTCTTTCCAGGGTTTTCACCGCCGCTGCAAGTTACAGGCAGAGCCCCGCTGACCTGCGCTGTGTCTCGGCTGACGCGCGCTACCACCAGAATGCTGGCTTAACGCTGGAGTCGGACACCTGCAGGTACTGGGTAACACCTCCCACCGGCACCGCGGAGGAGCGGCTGCAAGGAAGGGAGGCAAAGCTAGGTTTTAAAAGCAGACAGCCAAATCCTTCGGTTCTTGCAGTAAAATACCTGGTGATGGCTGCGAGCTTTGTGCTTTTTGGACGGGGGACTTTGTACATCGCTCGTGTTGTGGAGAGAATTTGGGGTGTAGGTGAGAGATGGTGCTCAGCTGGAGCAGCCACTGAGAGCAGCCGTGCCCTGTGCCCACCCTGTGCCCCGTGCCTGAGCCCACCGCCCCCGTTGCAGCCAAGGTGCGGCTGAGAACCAGGTATGATTTGGGACTACTTGGTAGCAATTTTTTCATGACGAGGAGGTTGCTCTGTTACATATTGCCGCTTAAATGTCTGAAAACACACCGTGTTGCATTTGGTTGTAAACCAGGTCTGCAGCCCTGCCAAAGGATGGACGTGAGCTGTTAGAAAAGAGCTGTAGTGGGGGAAAACGCAGCCCATTGAAATAAAGCCTCTGTAAAGACTGGTTGTAGAGTCGCATCAATCCTTTTTGTGTCATATATAAATCCAGAGCGTGATTAGTGGAACGGGACATTTCCTTCAGGTGGGAAGGGGAATCAGGAGCTTGTTCTCTTCATCCAGAGAAGTTTCCTTTCCGGGTGGGCCTGATCCTACTGGATGCTGAGCTGCCCCAGCACTGCTGTCCCCAGTGATGGCATGGGAGTGGGTGAGGGTGGCTTCATTTGCAAATATCCTGGTTGAAAACCAGGCTGGCTGAATTATTGAGAACCAAATGAATGTTATCACTTAGCACCTTAATTATTTTATTTAGCTACTGTGGCCCTTTGCATAGGATTCCTCATTAACACTTAATTTACAGTGCCCTTTAGGGATAATTTCAAACAATTCAGCTTAGTCTCCCCCCTCTCCCCCTTCCAAATGAACAAGTAAATCACTCGGAGTGACTAATTAGGACTTTCCTTTGAGCTAAATGAAGTCTGTAAACCGGTCTGTGGATGTGGAGGTTTTTCAGATGCGTCCCTGGGAGGGCCTGGCTGGTGGGTGGCTGGGGATGCCGCGGGTGCCCGGGGTTGGGCGATGGGACGTGGAGCTCTGCGCCCGCCACTCTGCGCCCAGCCTGCGAGGGAAGGGCTGACACGGTGGCTGGCACTGGGCTTGCGCGCAGCTGGTTGCCCAGTTGGGGCCTTATTTCCCTTCCCGGCTCGGAGACCTCTCTGCGGTGGCCGCGGAGGTGTCTCGGGGGCCGCGGCTGCCCCCGCGCCCTTTTTTTTTTTCCTCGAGGAGCCCCACGAGCAGGTTTGTGCCCTCCTGGCTTGCAGGCGGGATCCTGCTCAGCTTTGCGGTCAAAGCTTTTGCTTTCCAAAGGCGTCGAGTGCTCACTTCCGCGGCTGCAGCCGTGGTGGAGAGGGCGCCTGGTGCGGTGGCGCATATCCTGAGCTGTGTCTGCCCTTTTGCCCTCTCCTGTGGAAAAGCAGAAAACCCCAAATCCCGCCCAAACGACAGCTGTAGCGTGAGCAGGGCTTTGCTGCCCGGCTCTGAAGGCGACCTGGTCGCTGAATAACAGCGAACCCGTGCATTGCTGGGGCGACAGCTCCCGGGCGGGTGCGTAGCACTTGCGTTTTGTGAGCGGAGCGTGCCTTTTATTTTAATGCCGAAATCAGGAGGCTGGGGGCCAGAGGGGGCTGCAGGCCAGCACCCTGCCAGCGCTGCTCCCGCAGCCGTGGGTGCCCCAGCAGAGGGAGCCCGTGGCTCCGATTTGCTCCTTTTTCAGAGGAAAGATTCGGCGCTTGGGACTAACTGAATCCTTCCTTTCGAGCAGCAGGGATGAGGATAAAGCCATTTCTTTATTCTTGACCTATAGGTAAGTGTATATATATATATTTCCGATTTCATAGGAACCGCCATTTTTCCTTTTTTCTTTTTTTCTCACTTTATTTGAGCAGTACTTCAATAGAGGAGGCACTTCGCTGGCTTCGCGTGTGTTTGGAAAAGCCGGGCGCTGTCAGACTGTGCTTAGCTGTGCCAGTTCACCCCCTCTAACGAGGAGGCAGGTGAGTAACGATGGAGCAGCCAGGCTCCCAAAAAGCTTTGAAACCTCAGTGCCCCCAGCGGCTCTGCCGACGGGGTGACTCGGGTAGATCGAAGTTCCTGCAGTCGCTTGTCTGGCAGTCCAGCAGCCGTCGCTGCGAATTTCCCCATACAGCTGCTGTATCCATGGAGCCCCTTCGTTTGGCACTGGAGTATCCGACAAGGCTTATTGGGAGTTGCATGAGGCTTGAATTTTAAGAGGCAGGAATTTGCGTGCGTAACTGGGGCTGCAGCTCAGACTTTTCCTTGGGAGCTGCAATACAGGTTTTTGTGAGCGCAGTAAATCCCGCTCCGGACGGCTCTGCTGTCTGCATTTAGCCCCTTTCCCTCGGTGGCACGTTTTGGCCCCGCTTTGTTTCACTGGGATGCCCCTCTGCAGTCACCCAGCCGGCTTTTGGATGGATCTGCTGTGGCCGATGCTTCCTCCTGCCCCAGCTCCGTCCTGCTCCGGGCTGAGACCCGCGAGGAGCGCGGGGACCTCTGCACGCTCACACCTTTGGAGATGGAGCTTTGTGCTGTGTGATTGCCCCCGATCTAATAAATGCGATCCATTAATTGGATCATTGCCTGCTTCTCCAGTTAATTTCCTGGATATTTTTAAATGTTAAAATGTAGTTTTTATAGTCTTTCATTATTTTTAGCCTTAAGCTTGACTATAATCGTCCCTGTAATGTAACTGTAAAAAACTCCTGGCTTTATATCATAAAGGAGGACATTAATTGTCATTTGTTGTGTACATCAGCAAGATCAAAACATGCTTCCTGATTACTTCTGTTTGTACATACAGTCCCTTTGATATTTAGATATGAATAAAGTGTGTGTGTGTGTGTAATTTGAAAGTCAATTCTTTCCTCCCTGCTGCTTGTCATGGATTCCTTTCAGAGGCTTATTTACCAAATTGATTTTAAAATTTAGTAATTGCCCTTCCAAAATGATTTCTCAATAACCAAAGGGTCTCTAAGCGCAGTGGCAAAATATTTGTCCTCCTCGGTTCAGAAGATGCACTCCGCGCCTCGGCCTTTTTATCCTCAAGGCGAGGGCGAACGCAAATCTTTTCATGCCCCAAAATCAACTCCAGGGAGAGTTGGCGGCGAGAGAAGCTCAGCTCATGTCCCAGATTTCGCTTTTGTGCACAGGTTATCAACGCGACCAAAAAAAATCCCGTTCCGTCAAATCCATCCCTGGGTCCTGGTGAGGTTTGCCGAAGCTGGAAGGGCTTTGGGACAGGGAACACCGCCTTTGTCTTTGCGAAGCTCCAGGTGGTTCCGCGGCTGGAGGGACGGCATGGTCCTGGGGCTGGTCCTGGCACCCGCTGGGCTG